AAACCACAGAAGCTACACAGGCCCAGCAGGACAGCATCGAGGGTGGGGACTGCAGAGCAAGACCCCAGGGCAGAGCAAGACTGCCACCTGGATGGCAAAATGGCCCCAGGAGCCCTGGGAAGTGTAGTTAGGGGTGAGATTTCCACTCTGTGTAGTTCTACTCTGTATATTTCAGACTATCTGACTTCCTTTTCTAAACAGAAAACCATGTCATTAACAAAAAAATCCAAAAGGGTGCCGGGAGGAAGGAATCACGCACTCCCTACCTTTCTCTGATGGGCGGAATGGTTACCACACTTAAAAACCTGAGGGTCCCAGGAAGTCTCCCCAGCCAGCCTGCCCCTCACCCAATCTCCTCAGCCCTGCTGCCCCACTCACCGGCGGGTACAGTGTGGCTTTTGTGCTGGACGAGCTGCTGGACGAGGCCCCGGTGACGTGGTTCCTGTCATAGAGGGGCACGCCGCCCCGGCCCCCCACCAGGCTCACAGAGCTCATCATGGATTTACTGCAGGAGATGCCTGTCAGGGGAGGGACAGGAGCGTCAGGTGGGCAGCTCAGCCACATGCTCCCACCTTGGCTCTGCTGCCCATGAGATTCGGTAGGTAGGTCCTGTCTGGCTGTACCCCACCCCCACCCCTGCTGGCCTCTCGAAGCATCTGGGCCTGTGGAATAGAACCCAATAGGGGCCTGGCACAGAGCACACCAGGCAGACAGGATCCCAATTTGGGCAGCTGATGGGACGGTGATGCTGCCGCTGCCTCAGGCTTCTGGAAGCTTGTGAGAAGCCCTACTAACCCCAGCCCCCAAAACAATCAGGTCGCATCAGCTCCCAGACTTCAGGGTCCCAGGCAGAGGCTGGCTCAGTGAGGAGGTAGAACAGGACAGAAGAAAGAAATCTAGGGCTGGGTAGGCCCAGAACAATCCCAAAGATGGCCCAGGAGCTGCAGGGGACTTTCAGCCCTCACGGTGCGAGCTTCTTGGACGTAGTGAGGCTACTGACATATGAAACGGCAGCATTCAGCCTTGCAGGGTGCCCTGGGCCCTGCAAACATAACCACATTCCTGGCGCTGCTAATGACACATACCCCACGTCCTGACCTGCTGCTGTTGGGACCCTGACTGCCTTGGCTCCTCACCTGTGAAGGGACCATGCTGTGAGCCGCCCGGAGCTATGAAATTGAGGGGCACATGGGGGGTCCCGCTGACATACTCATGTGGAAAGGGTCCACTGGCCCCTGTGTAGCGCTGGCACACCACACGCTGGCAGACGAAATAGACCCCGCCCATGACAAAGAGCGAGAGGATGATACCGATGACTGGCCCAATGGCACTGCTGTGGGCTGGACTGTCGTCAGAGGGCGGCTTGGTGATTTCTGCCAGAAGACAGACAGGAAGAGAAGACCAACGTTAACTCTCCTGTGCGACAGACACTGTGGGCTTGCCTGGAAGGGGCTGGCTCTGCCCAGACTCAGCACCACAGATGGATGGCAGGAGACAGAAGGGGTCTGGAGACGGTGCTCACCTCAGGACCACTGCCTGCAGCTCCTGCTCTGCCTGGTTGACCCCATCCCCTTCCTGCTGGGCCCTCAACATGCTCATACACCTGTGCCCAGAGGTGCTTGGTGGTGGCCAGATGGAATGCTCCTGAGCTAGCCATGTGAGGTGTGTGTGAATTCAGCCAGGACACCCTACAGCCAGATGAGAGCAGGTGCAGCCAGGCCACAGGGCTATGGGGGGTGGCTCTCTGGCTGTTTCACTATCAAGGACCCCAGAGCATGGGGGCATGTTCAGAGCCCTGACTCAACTGGCAAAAACACATTCACGTCCCACCAGGCTGGCCAACCATACTGAAGACAGTTAATTACACCACTCTCGGTGGCCCCCAACTCTCGGTGGCCTCAGGAAAACCTGAGGATGCTAAGCACCACCCAGCACACCAGGGCCCACTGTCACACTGGAGACACGGGCATAGCCCCGCCAGACAGGGAGCACGGCCCAGCAGAGGAGCAGGGGGGATGCCAGCAGCCCCCAACCCTACCATGGGACCCCAGGCCACTCTCTTGAAATGGTGCCTGAAGTACCTGACCTGGGTGGCTGAAGGTGCCAAAGAGCTTAGTGAGTCCCTTGGGGAAAGCTCCTCTTCCCCAGATGTCCCTCTCTCCTGCATGGAGGTCTCAGCCCAGGAGTGGGCAGGCTCCCAGACAGCACTGCGTTCCCGCTTCCTATCTGGAACTCTGGCTCCTTCCCGTCTGAACCACGGTCTTTCCAGAGCCATTGCCTTTAAGAATCATTTGCTAACTGCCCTGGCCACCCATCCTCTAGTCCCTGGACCCTTTAGTGTACAGACTGTGTCACTTGAGGAGCACATGTGAAGTGTGGGTGTCACTGCTTCTCCTCAGCCAGAGGCTGATGCCCTCTGCAGGGCAGGACCCACAGAGTGAGGTAACTATGACTGATGTTCAGTCTTCAGGCACGGTAAGCCCCTACCGAGACAGACTCTGCAGCAGGCCTGCCTCTGGGCCTCTGCTCCTGGAAAGCCCTCCCCTGGGGATGCCCCCCAGCTCAGTCTCCCCTCCTGGTCTCTGCCTTTCTCCAAGGCCAAGTGCACCCACCTCCCATCTGCCTCATGTCCCACCCAAGACTCCAGCCCCACTCAGAATTCACATTTCCCTGAACCTTGCCCAGGCCCCACACTTCCTGGGGAGGTTGGTGTGGAACATCCCCAGCCCTGCCAGCAGTCAGCTTACCACAAGTGAGCTCATCAGAGCCATCCACACAGTCGGGGAAGGAGTCACATTGCTGCTTGATGAGGATGCACTGGCCACTGGCACACCGGAACTGGTTAGGTAGGCAGACAGCTGGAAGGAGGGTGCTGCTCAGAGAGACCACAGGGCAGCCAGGGACCCTGCCCTGCCACCCAAGGCCCAACTACAAAGGTCTGGTTCTAAATCCAGGGTCAACAAAGTCAGTCCCAGGACTGGACCAAGAGTGGCCATGGCAGATCTGGGCTCACCCCTTCCTAAGGACCCCTGCTCCAAGGCCTGTGCAATGGCAACGAAGGAGCTGGCAGGAGACCTGTTGAGGTCTTGCAGCCCTCTGACTCCAAGGAGGGATGTGTCTGGCCTGCACAGTCAAGATTAATCAGCCCCACTCCAAGGTCTTCCCCGGTTCCCAGGGAGGTAGGGCAACAAGAGGAGCCACCAGGAGTGTCACCTCCCTAGCACAGGTGGAGCCTGGCAGAGCTCTGTAAGGCCAAAGCAGCCCACGTGGGGAGAAATTCTGCCTCCCCCAACACTTGGGAGAAGAACAGCCAGCAAGGATCAACCTGCTGTGGCCAGATGCTGACCTGCAGGGCTGGCAGCACCACAAGGTAGGAAGCTGCAAGAGCTCAGGCACTAGCACCCCAAGAATCCTATCTAGGCTCCCCTCCTCCCACTCAATCCCTGCCCTGGGAGCAGGATACAAAGAGATCCCATCCTTTCCATGGAAGGTAACAAGAGTGGGGAGCAAGCACCTGCAGAAGGGCCTGCTGGGCAACAGTCCTGCGCCCTGCATCAGAAGGACCGGGGAGAAGACAGTTGCCCAGGAGGGCTCCTAAGATCCTCTAAAATCATGGACAGGATGACCAAAAGGCTGGGCGGGCTGCATCTGTAAAGGACTGCAGGGCCACAGGGCTCACTTGTCTTAGCAGACAGCCCACATGTATGTGAGGGGAGTGACACAGCAGGTGCCAATGAAGCTTTATTTACAGAAATAAATATGTCACCATGTGCCAACCACTGGTCCACCATTCCCACCAACTCCTCAAGTGGTCAGAGAGCTGCCAGGGCTTAACTGTGGCTTCACAGAAACACCTGGGAGTTTGCCTGCCCTCAGCCTCTACAAAACACCCACTCATCATGACTCCAGATGGAGAACGATGACCAGACAACACCTGAGTTGTCAAGAACAGGACCCAGTGGCTGGGGGAGGCAGCAAGAGTGACCACACTCACTCATAGTCCTGGGACTGAAGGTATGCATCACTGTCAGGAAGATCTGCTATGGGCTGGTGGAATGGCTCAAATGGTAAGAGCACCTTAGGAGGCCGAGTTCAAACCACAGTGACGCAAAAAAAAAAAAAAAAGGAAGAAGATCCTGCTAGCCAGAGTGGGCCCAGGTGGTGGAAAATGTATTATCCCAGACTGCTCAATGGAGCACAGCACTGCTTTTTAGGATGGGGAGTTCACCAGGGTGTGAACCACGTAAGTCTCAGCTGACTACTGGATTTACCTTAAGTGTCTGAAAATGTCATCAAATGTGGGAAGGTGACACAGACTGTCAGTCTGCCTTCCTGTCAATCTCTGGTCAGACCACAGCACTTTCCATGCTGAGCCTAAAGGTAACATCATTGCTTTCAGAGCAGAAGAGGACCTGGTGATTTCTCTCCAGGCAAAGGCTTTCCAAAGCCCCTACTGCTGGGAGGCCAGATGGAACCCCAGGCTCTGGTCCAGGAGGACAGAGCAAGTGGCCTTGACATGGCCTGGATGTGGCGGTCACCCCGGGAAGATGGCAGCCAGGGTAGGGGTACAGGCCTCACCATCACAGTCGGCTTCGTCGGAGCGGTCCTGGCAGTCAGCCTCACCGTCACAGCGCAGACGCAAGTCCACACACTGGCCACGTGCACAGGGGAACTGGGCTGCTGAGCACACCGGGCAGCCCTCCTCGTCGCTCTGGTCATCGCACTCAGGGAAGCCGTCACAGCGCCAGGCCCCAGGGATGCAATCAATTTCCCCGGTAGCACACGCAAACTGGTCCGGGGAGCAGGTGGGAGGCTCTGGAGGAAGACAGAGATCGCGGTCACCCCATGGGGCTTCAAACCGGAGATAGACCAGGGTCAGTGCCAGCCCTGTGTGGCCAGTGTCCTGGCAGTGCAGCATGGCACACTCAGCAATGCTGGCTCCTGCTCGCCATCCTACCTCAGCTCCAGCCCCAGCCCAGAAGGCAGCAGGGGACACAAGATGTCTGCTGCAAGACAACAAGGACCTTTTTCTGTCAGGGGACCGGGACCTGACCCCAGCATAGTGGGGCTGGTGGAGGACCCAGGATACTCACAGGGTGAGCAGTGTGGGGCTTCCCAATAGAGGCTCCCATGGGGGGCGTGGCTGGGAGAGCAAAGTGCCACTTCCCACTGGGCTCCACACTGCAAGAGATCCTCATTATCGCCTCCTGCCTCAGCGTCCATCTGGATCAGAAGTCAGACTTCTCAGGCCAGAAGCAGCTCAGTTACTCTTCACCTCGATTCCACTTCTTCCCCACCTCCCAGCTCCTCAGTGTGGGCCACCCACACACCTGTCCCAACCAACTGTACCCTGGGGAACCACTGCCCTCTGGGACAGCACTACACGCACCTGCCCCTGCTGACCCCACATCCACACGGATGGTGCAGGTCTGCCCCAGTGACCTCCTGGAACCCACGGCTGCCTTAAGCCTACAGTGACACTCCCAGGGGACACCTGTTTGGACAGCACCCTGGACCTAAGAAAGACAGTGGCACAAGGCTTTCCTGTCTCTTACTCTCACTCTGTGACCTCCATGTAAGGGGGTGGGGTGATCCAAGGATGCTTTGTACCCTTCTAGCCACTGAACTACACTCCCAGCCCTTCATTTCTGTCTTGTGTCTTTCCTAATCATTGCAAGGTGCTCTCCAACTTAAAAGACCCTCAGTTAAAACAGCGTCCTCAGCCAGACATGGTGATGCATGCCTATAATCCCAGCACTCAGAGAGCTGAGACGGGAGGATCCATCCAAGTTCAAAGCCAGCCTGGGCTATTATATAGCAAGATCCTGTCTCAAAAAAATTTTTTTTAAAGGGTTGAGGAGGTAGCGCAGTGATAGAGCACTTGCAAGGTTCCAGGTTCAATTTCCTGTACCACAAAACAAAAGCATAAAAGCAAAAACCAGCTACTTCAGTTCAGGCCAAGTGTGGGTTAAGGCCAAGGTGCACAGAACCATCAGAAATGGCACTGTGCCCCAGGCCAGGGGCTCAGACAGGGTATGGCGCAGAGAGAAGTCACAGGAGTCAATCAGTTTCTCAGCTCCCTCATTCCCCCAGGACTCTCCTCATTTGACAAAAACCTAACAGAGGTCAGCCTGGGGAAAGCTGAGCTCCATCTTAATGTTGAACAGCCCTTAACGCCCCCGAAGACTGACCAAGGAAAGAAATACAAGACCTCGGGCAGCAGCAATGTGCACAAGCTTCGCACACCACATGCTGCCCACGGCTGCCAGGCTCAGCCAGGGTTGTGAGACAGGCAGAGGCCTGAGCACAGACTGGAGCTCTCAGGAAAGAAGAAAAGCTGGCTGTCCCCACTGGGCTCGGCCAAGGAAGGACATGGCAGGGTCAGAAGGGAGTCCAGGCGCCCACCATGTCTGAAAGGAACCAACGACAGATATGTGCAAGCTGAGCCACTCACAAAGCCTATGTGCCAAGCACGGCCGCAGAATGACAGACGCGGAAAGACAGACGCAGAAAGACAGACGCGGGTGACAGCCCGGGCCCCACACCTGAGCCGCAGCACCTGTCACTGGTGCTCCCCAGCTGGGAAGAGCAGGTCTGGCTCTGCCCCAGGCCGTCCATTCAGGCAGCTCTGGCCAGAGGAGAAGGACAGAGCAGGGCAGGGCCAGACAGGCTGGGAACAGATCTGAGTGTCCCTCAGCAGCAGAGAAACCTGCGGAGTCCCTGGGCCTTCCAAAGTCTCCATGACCTCATCTGTCAAACAGAAGTGGTCACTATCCCTCCATCACAGGGCCGCCCAGGGAGTGACAGACACCAGGGAAGAGCCAGAGATGCTTAGGCCTGGGGCAGGGCTCCCACAGCAGAAACAGCAGCACTGGCTGAGACATGGATGCCACGCGGGACCCGCCATGCCCTTCTGGCTCCTCCCACTTGGCCCAGTTCACATCTGAGAGCATTTGCCCTTCTGTGACCTGCCCAAAGAAGTGGCCACAACACTTAAAAGAGTCTGTACAGTAAACACACAAAAGAAGGAGGCCTGGAGTCCAGGAGACAGATGGAAGGGCACAACTCCTTGGGGTGCTCGGGGCTGGTAAGTGTGTGCTCTGCATGGCCCCACGCTCGAGCACCTTCAGAAGCTGCACAGACCAACACTCTTGGGTCTCAAATCCACGTGAGCTATCAGCTGAACTTGAAAAGCTGCCTGGGTGCTCTGGAGGGTGGGCAGTCACAAAGTTGCCCCCTAGACAACATCTCTGGGGCTTGAGGAAGGGCAGGCCCCATGCACAGTCCACTTCCTGAGTTCCTGGGCAACAGGCAATCTCTCCAGGAGCAAGATGAGTTGGAGCTGTGCCTGCTGTGTGCATGGCGGGGGACAGGGACCAAGCCTGAGCCACCAGGACCCCACAGAGCACAGGGGAAGCAAGTGCAGCACAGAAATGGCACAAGCCACGGTCACCTGGGAGTCCCCAGGAGACAATGAAGAGGAAGCCCTGGGGGGATCAGGCTTCCTCATGGTGACACCATGTGACATAACACCTGGCATTCACATATGCCATGTGCCAGGGACCACGTGGAGTACTCAGTTGCTGAAAAGCCCACAAAAACCCGTCAGGTAAGTGCTCTCAACTTCATAGAGGAGGAAGTAGAGGCTCAGCTGGGAAGTCAAAGAGCCTGGATTTGAACTCAGGTCTATCTGACCCTAAAGTTCATGTTCTTGATAACATAACCGCCATCACCACCATGTGGCCCTAGAGGAAGAAGAGTCTAGAGGGTAGGAGGAGAGGAAAAGTCAGAGTTACAAGAAGCAGTCAAATCCACTGTTGGAAACCCGGCACTCTTGTCAGTAACAGGTAATTAGGAAGGACACAGACGGCTTATTTAACTCTCAAACAACTGGATGTAATGTTTCTAGAACGCTGCACCCATCCACAGCGGCATCCAGATTCTTCCCCAAGACTGACCACATGCTAGGCCAATCAAGCACACCTGAACAAACTGAAAAGAACAGAAACTGTACAAAGTAAACTGGAATGAACTGGAAATCAGAGAGCCTGAGAGCTAGCTGGAACATTCCTAAGTATTTGGAGATTAAACAACACACTTTCAAATAACACATGGGCCAGGGAAGATGCCTTGGAGAAACTTAAAAATATCTGTACTATCTTACAATGAAAATACACCTAGCCAAAATTTTTGTTTTTTTGGCAGAACTGGGGTTTGAACTCAGGGCCTATACCTTAAGTCACTCCACCAGCCCTTTTTTGTGGTGGGATTTTTTGAGATAGGGTTTTAAAAACTATTTGCTGGGGGCTAGCTTCAAGCCATGATCCTCCTGATCTCTGCTTCCTGAGTAGCTAGGATTACAGGCGGGGGCCAACTAACCAAAATTTGTGGGATGCAGGAAAGGCAGTACTTAGAGGAAAATTCATAGCACTAAACACAATTGTATGTTGGAAAAAAAAGAAGTATAAAAAAGAGATGACCTGCTTGGGAGTCTGGACACCCCTGGGACTGTAATTTTAAAAGGATACAGGGCAGTGAGCTGCAAGAAAAGAGATTTAGGTCTTTGTCCAAAATCCCAACAGAAAGCACCAAAGTCACACCTACCGCCACAAGTCAGCAGGTTCTGCAGGAGCACAAGGTGGACTGGGCAGGAGCACCGTGGCGTCCCATCGCCCTTTGCAATGCAGATGTGGGAGCAGCCGCCATTGTCTCGGGCACACGGGTGGGCTGCTGCAGGGACAGAGGAAGATAGGTGGGGTCAGGCTGTGCCTCCCACTGCAGGACTGAGGAGTGGGAAGAGGCCACAACCATCGCTCGAAATGCCAGTCTGTCACTCTCTCACGTTACATGGTTGAACTATGCCTCTTCCCAAGACAGGTCTACATCTTAACCTCTAAAATCTAGTAACCGTGACCTGATTTGGAAAGGCGAGTCTTTGAATTTATAATTGAGATAAATGATCTGTTTTTGTTTTGGCAGTGCTGGGGATCCAACTCATGCCTTGTACATGCTAGCCAAAGTGCTCTACCCCTGAGCCACCCCAGCCTGAGGCAAGGGAGCTTAAGATGAGGTCAGCCTACGTGATTTGGGCAGACCCTAAATCCAACTCCAAGTGTCCTTATAAGAGGAAGCAGAAGCAAGGAAGATGCTGACACAGGAGACAGAGGCCACAGCTGTCTACAGCTACCAGAACCATAGGGGAAAAAGGACAGATGCCCCTAGAATCTCCACAGTGAATGCAGCTCTGGCAACATTTTAATCTCAGACTTCTGGCCTCCAGAACTCTGGAAGAATAAATTCCTTTCTTTTCTTTCCTTCCTCCTCCCTCCCTCCCTCCTTTCTTCCTTTCCTTCCTTTCTCTCTCTCTCTCTCTTTTTTTTGGCAGTAGTGGGATTTGAACTCAGGCCTCCCACTTGCTAAGCAGGTGCTCTACCAATGAGCCATGCCATTCCGCCATTTTTCCTTTAGTTTATTTTACAGGTAGGGTCTTATGCTTTTGTCTTGGCCAACCTCAGATGGTGATCCTGCTACTTCCATCTCCCAAGGAGCTGGACTTACAGGTGTGCACCACCATATTCAGCTTGTTTTTGAAATCAGGTCTTGCAAATTTTTTTTTTTCCAGGATGGCCTCAAACCATGATGAGAGGTTCCCAGCTTCCTGAGTAGCTGGGATTATAGGTGTGTACAACCATTCCTGGCTCTTGGGGAATAAATTTCTATTGGGTGTCAAAGGTACCCAGTTTGTGGTCATCTATTCTAGTAGCCAGGGACACTATTACACACAAAAATGGCAAAGGCACCAGGACCCTGGGGAACTCATATTCTTCTATTCAACTCCTGAACCCCAGGGAAGCAGAAGCATTGAGGTGCCTGGGGCGGCCATGCCCAGGAGAGAAGAAATGACAGGTAGCACTGCCTGTCCCTGCTCCACCCCCAAAGGAAAAAAATCAGTGTCCTCTTCCACCTCCAAGATTAGATGGGTTTTGTTATTGTTGTTGTTTCTGTTTGTTTTGTTTTTTTGTTTTTGGGTTTTTAAAGTGGTAACTGGGCTTGAGCTCAGGGCCTATACTTTGAGCCACTCCACCAGTCCTTTTTTTGTGATGGATTTTTTTTTTTTGAGACAGGGTCTCATGAACTATGTCCCTGGGCTGGCTACAAACGCAATCCTCCTGATCTCTACCTCCTGAGTAGCTAGGATTACAGCTGTAGGATTACAGGCGTGAGCCACCAGCATCTGGCTTGTTGTTGTTTTTGTTCTGCTTTAAAAACAGGGTCTCACTATGTAGCCCAGGTTGGCCTTGACTTCAAAATCTTCCTGCCTCAGTCTCCTGCATGCTGGAATTATAGGTGTGCACCACCACTCCTGGCCAGGATTGTGTGTTCTTATAAACCACAAGAGTCATGGTTTAAAGCAGAGGTCAGCAACCTTTTTGAGTAAAGAACTACAAAGTGCATAATTTTTCCTTCCCAGACCATTCATGGCAGTCTCTCTCAGCCAGCTGCAACACAAAGGCAGCCATAGGTGATACATACATGCATGGATGGGCATGGCTGAGTACAAATAAAACTTGACTTACAAATAAGGTAGCAGACTGAATTTGGTCCACAGGTGGCAGTGGGACTGCCCTGATTTAGAGTTTGGCAGTGGGATCTTACTGGAAAGTCCATAGCCCACATTTAAGCAGGACAGCTTATCAAAGTATTTCCTGCCCTCACCAAGAACAGGGAAATACTTATGTGACCTGGGACATCTCACATGAGCACGTGTAGGGATGTCCCCCCAGTGTCCAACAGATACCTCCGTTATCTGGATCCAGCAAGAACCCACAGGACAGAAAACTAGTGGCTCACAGTCAACACAGAGGTGACCAATTCACTGCCTCAGAGTTCACGCCAGGCTCTGAGCAGGAAGCCCAGTGGCCTCAGTCCCATGGAGGTGTTTGTACTTTACACACTGTTCTATTGAACTTGTGGGTTTGTGAACCCACAAGGGTAAGCTCAGTCTGGTGACTGAGCCACAGGCCCTGGCCTCAAACCCAAGCCTGAACTGGTGATCCACGTGAGAGGGGCACATGAACACCATCACTGAGCCACCTTTCTCAGCTGGACAGTGGAATCACTGTGAAGTAGCACACAGGACATACTGACACCCTGTGTGCAGAGACTGGAGTGCCAGAGACAGGACGCAGCTAAGGAGGCAAAGGAATTACCAGGAGCGACTCAGATGATGGAAGGGAGGGAAAGGAAAGGAAGAGAAGGGGACCCTCCAAGGTAGTGGCACAGCAGTGAGGGGGCTGAGGCAAGGGGTCAGCAGTTTGAAGGGGCAGCCTTGTTCCTGAGGCTGGTAAATTCATGGTAAGCAAGGGCAGGAGATGTTTTCAACATGGAATGAAACCTCTAAAACCATGTGCCAAAATAACCCTTTTCTCTTTAGATGCTGACCACCCAGGCACTTGTTACAGTGATGAAAAGCTAACAAGGGGCTAACATAGGACGAGGGGAGCGGGGCCTAGGAAAGGAGAGGATTCCCGGAGACAGCCAGAAAGAAAACGGGCTGGTCCTACCATCAACACCCTGAATGAGCTTGGAAATGGATTCTTCTCCACAGCCTCCCACTATGAGCCCAGCCTAGCTGATGCTTTGCTTCTGCTCCCAGGAGATCCTGAGCAGAAAAGCCCAGTAAGCCATACTATGGGTGCATTTTTGAGCTATAGAAGACGGGACATGTGGGTTGTTTTAAAGCCCTACACTGTGTTGTGCAGCATACAAAAGTGACTACAGAGGCCCTGGGATATCTGGACACTTGCAGCCTTCAGTGCTGAGTCTCTGCTGGTGACATTCAATGTCCAGCTGAGCCCAGCACCTCTGGGGACATATAGGTTTTACACTGGCCACTCATCTGTCTCCAGGATGGCTGGTTCAGGGACCACTGTGCTTTGAGCAGATGCCACCCTTCCCAAGGGGACCCTGCCCCCACCGCTGCCCACCCTCACATACAGAACTCCTCCAGGCTGACTTCCTCCACAGCATGGATGCCCGTGAGGTGGGCGACACGGCCCTGGACACGAGTCCGCTTGCCCCCGGTGGTCTTCTCCACACGCTCGATCATCTGCTGCTGGCGGTCAATCCAGTAGAGGTGCCTGCCGAGCACAGCCAGGCCCACGGGCTGCACGATGTTCGCGTCCTCCAGGGTCAGGCGGTTGGCCCCTGCAGGCAGGATGGGAGCCTCCTGAGTGTTAGCTGACCTCAAGAGCTTGGCCCATACTCAGCTCAGGAGACAGAAGCTTAAAGAGAAGGCCACCAGGGATGCCGGGGCCAGAAGCTAGGGCAGCTCCCCTGGAGTCTGGCTTTCCTTGGGGTCAAGTCCTATGGCCCTGACTGTGGTCTCTAGTCACTAGCCCCTGCAAACACAGTGCCGCCCTCCCCCAACTTGATTAAAAAAGTTAAGACCTAAGCCTTCTGCTGAGCACTGACTAGCTTCTCTGCACCCCAGGGCTCATTTGGGAACCAACCCTGGACCTCATGAAACATGTACACCCCCTAGCACACTGCCAGGCTCACAGCAAGTCTAGGACAGGGTGGCAGCTGCCACCCTTACTGGCGTCCACAGGAAGGTCACTGCTGCAGACTGCCAAGGGACCCAATGACCAGAGAGGTCCCAGGCACGTACCTGACAGGTCACAGCTTTCAATGCGCTTCAGGTCTGCATCCACCCAGAAGAGCTTGCCTAGTGTGTTGTCCACCACAAGGGCCACAGGGCGGATGAGGCCTGCGGTGAAGAGGACCTCGCGCTCCGTGCCATCCAGGGCTGCGCGCTCAATCTTGGCTGCACGATCCTGCATGTTGGTGAAGTACAGGTACCTGGGAAGGCAGTGGGTAGACAGCAGTGAGTGAAGGACAGGTGCAGGGAAATCCCACTGTCATGCCTTCTCAGCCAGCACTGAACTTACAGAAGCACCAGAGTCCCTGACCTGGAGCATCTGATTGGACAGCTCCAGCCTCTCAGAGATGGCCCCAAAGGCTGCTGGTCAGCCCTATGCTGGGAGGAGTATGGCGATCTCAAATTCATGTCCATTCCAGAACCTCAGGATGTGCGAGCTTCCTCATAACCAGGTCTTTGCAAATGTAGTTAAAGGTAAGGTGGGCTAGGGTGGGCCCCAAATCCAGTGACAGTGACTTTAAGAGGGACAGAGAAGGCCGCAGAGACATAGGTGGTCAATGTCCAGCAAAAGGGTAAAGGGGAATGATGTGACCACAAGTCAATGGATACCTAGGTCCACTGAAGCTGTAAGACTGTCCACCACTGCTTCAGAGGGAATATGGCTCAGTCAACACCTTGATGTGGGACCTCGGGGACTGTGAGCGAATACCTGATCTGAGCTGAGTTCTTACAGTAGCCTCATGACACCAGTCGTATCTCTATATGGCTGTTAATCAAGGAGACTGGCTCACTCGGCTCCTCACCAGCCACCTTGAGCAACGAGGACTTCTGCTCAAGAGCCCCTCCATGCACTGGAGAGACTGGCACTACTGTCCTCGCCATAGACAAAGACACTGGTCTCTGGGGTACTGCATCACCTGCCTGAGGTCACCTGGGTAATAAATGCCAGGGTAAGGACTTGCACTCAAGTCTTCCTGCCCCAGGACCTGTGCTTGCTCCTGCCAGCCCTGGGCACAAGCACCACCCCACATTACCTCGCCCAGGCTAACACCATCTTGCACATCAGCCCCACCATACTTAAAAGAAGGCCACCGTGCTCCTACCTCAGGCCTCGGCATGCTCAGCTTTGTTTCTGAGCTTCGTGGTATGTGAGTTTAGTTTCCCCACTGCCCTCATTAGTTACTCCCTGTCACCACATCTGGGTGCACCCCCGCCACTAGAGACTGTGAGGACCTTCCAGGAAGGAAGAGCTGCCCAGAGCACCCCAGTATGGGAGGTGTGAGAGTGAAGAACCAGCCTCCAGCTGGGGCTCCAGGGCGCAGATTCCTAAATAGGGTACAAGTTGGACAGATTTGTACAAAACCCTGAATTGGAGCTCAGGTCCTTCCTACCTTGTCTTCTTTGTCCTTCCCCCAGCTTCCCACCCACCCTGCTCTCGGCTCAGCTTGGCTGGAGACTGTCTCCGCTGCCCTGTGCAGCTGTGGCTGACTTAGTGTTCCCAGCTCTGTTTGGACTCCTGATCTTGGGGTCCTGGGAAGTTGGGGAACCACTCGGGGCTCTGAGAGCTGGGTATCACAGAAGGGTCACAGGGCCAGCGAGGGGCCGGCATGCCTTAGCAGGGTGCAGCACCCTCACCCTGCAGTGTCCATCTATCCTGTGGCCTCCTACCCTCGCTCAGCATTGACAGCGATGGCCCTCGGCTTGTCACGGTCCCCTCGCAGCACCACGCCCACGGCGTCGCCATCCAGCCTGTGGACATTGATGGTGTTGGTGGCCTCGCACGTCCAGAACAGCGTCCGGCTGTAGATGTCGATACTGAGGTCGTGCGGCTGCCTGTCGGGGCTTTGGCTTTGGCCCGGAGAGGTCAACACAAAGGGCTGTAAGGGGAAAAAAAAGACAAAACTCGCGCCAGCAGCCCCTGCACCCTGCACACCTGCTGGAGAGAGCACGAGGGAGGGCAGAGGTCACGGTCCTGAAGGCCCCAGCTGTGTGTCACCAGACTGGTGGCCAACCTATCCCTACTCGTGCAGGAGGCCGCCTGTCAGCTGGACAGGCCCAGAACCACTCAGGACAGCTTCCCTCTTCCTTTCCATGCCCAGCAGACAGGCTTTGGCTTAACATGGTCAAGCCTCGTTGTTCTTTTAATTTAGTGGGCCAGGAAGGTAGGTATGAGGCCAGAGGTCTACCGCTCAGAGCCCTTTCCTCAGAGGGAGAAGGCAAAGGGTACAGTGCCGGTGAGAGGCCCACGGCAGGTGAACACGCAGGACAGTTAGAGGCCTGGCACGGGTGAGGTGTGCAGGGTAGATGAGGTGTATGGGGCAGGTGAGGCTTGCAGGGGAGGAAAGGGTGCTGACAGGTGGAGGAGGCAGGTGAGGGTGCAGGAGGTGGGGACAGGGTAGGTGGGGACAGGGTAGGTGGGGTGGGGACAGGTGGAGTGCTAGTAGTATCGCGCAGGATGCTCGGGCAATCCACGCTTCCCAGCACTTCCTGGTGCCACTTTTCATTCTGCCCACTTTCTAAGTCTTTACCCAAAGCCCAGCCTGACCTGTGCCATTGCTAAGGTCTGGTCCAGAAGGAGGCTTGGCTCTGGAGCCCTCACAAAGTCCCTCTCAAGAAGCTTTGCTGAACTGATGCAGGTAGAAGGAAAACCCTGAGTCTCCCCATCTCACCCCATCCCAGAGGCCTGATGTGGCTGGTTTCCTTGAGTGACCCTAAAAGCCAGCCGTATTTGGGTTCTGGGTGACCTAGCCTGGTGCAAAGGGGCTGGAGCACCTGGGCTGTTCCCCCTCGCTACCACGGGGGTAGATGCCTTGGAAGGGACAGGGCCACCAGCTCTCCTCCCTATTCCCTCCTGGGTTCAGTGGGAGGGAGTCTGAGGATGGCACTCTGAGTATAGGGGCCTTGGATCACTGCTTCCAGCAGGTAATAAAATAGGAACCTCCACATGGCGAGAGGCTTGCAGCCAAAAAGCAGCCCCTTCCCCAGGCCTGGCCTCATGGAGCCAGCTGGAAAGGGTGCCCCCAAACATACACCACCTGTGGCCTATCACTGGCTCCAGGTGTATGGCTTCATCTGAACTTGAGCCTCACTTTAAAGGACCATAGAGCCTTTGCAAGTAATTTCCATGACCCACAGAGCTGTGGGCCCACCACAGCACAGTACCAACTCCTAGGGGCACATTTTCTCCCCAAAGCTACAGAGCTCCTGCCAGAGTCCTCAGCCTGTGTAGCAATGGACCAGAAGAGAAGCAAGACTGCAACTACTCCAGCTGAATCAGAGTTGGGATCCCATCATCGGGACAGTCATATGAACAGGTACGTGGTAAGCTACACACTGTCCTCACCCCTTCCCAGGTAGACACAAACAAGTTAATACCCCTTTTCCCTTGCCAAAGGGACATGCTCATGGCAGAATTAATTCACCAGGGCCGAAAGACAGAAGCAGCCCAACATCCCCGATAAGCAAAATGCATCCATCTGTACAACAGAGAATGACTCAGTCAAGGAACTTCTAGTCCATGCTACGCCATCAATGCACCTGAAGACATTATGTTGAGTGAAATAAACCAGTCACAAAAAGATGCATCCTGTATGATTCCACTTGTGTCAGGTCCTGTCATTTGTCAACAGAAAGTAGGACCAGGTGTCAGGGGTTAGGGAGTTAGCGTTTAACAGGGACAGAGGTTCAGTTTGAAGAGAGGAGAAAGTTCTGGATGTGGACAGTGGTGATGGTAATAACAGCGTGAACGTGATCAATGACCCTGAGATGTGTATTTGCCACAGTAAAAAAAAAAAATTAATAGAAAATGAAACAAAACCTTAGCCAAGACTGGGTGTGGTGGCTCACACCTGTAATCGCAGCTACTCAGCAAGTGAAGGCAGGAAGACCATGGTTTGATGCCAGTATGGCAAAAATCAGCAAGACCTTATCTCAAAATCAAGTCAATCCCAGGCCCAAAAAAAGAAAAAAGAAAAAATATATATATATATATATACATATATCAAAAATAAGTCAAGGGTGGTGGCCCATGCCTGAGGTTCCAGCTACTTGGGATCATAGTCAAAGACTGGCCCACAGTCTGGAGGTGTGACTCAAGTAGGAGAGCACCTGCTGAGCAAGCACTAAGCCCCAAGTTCAAACTCCAATACCACCCAAAAGAAAACACCACCATGAAAAAGCACAAACCTTGCCTGAAAAAAAAAGGCAAAAAGGCAAGGGGTGTGGCGAGGCCCTGAGTTCAAACCCCAGTGCTGTAAAA